TTGCTCAAATTAGAAGGAAGGTCTGCATGCACCATGTGTCTTTGTCCACATTACATTTTGCCACAAGTTGATTAAAGCGACATAAGAAGTTGCAATATATGGAAAACTGTCGATTAGCATCAGTAGGTAAATGGGGCTTCATTAAATTTACACCCCTCACCCAATTTCACATACAACTAGACACAATGGCAAATATTATCTACCCCAAGTTTAAGGTTTTGACAAACTTTGGAGGTCGATAAATTACCAAGCCTGAGCATACATGCAAAAGAAAATTTGCTCTATCATTTTACAGGAACAGTGAGATGGGGGCAGAGACAGCAATATAACTCTTCAAGAAGGAGAATGAAATGATTCTTTCGTGCTATAATTGAAAGAACAATCTGAAGATGGTACAATATGAGAGTTGTGTCTAAGATAATAAGCATACAGATAAATAGACGTAATCATCCTTTGGAGTTAGGTTTAGGTGATTTGTGAGGATAATATGGGGAAGCAGGAGGACCATTTGGACTTGACAAGCTTCTTACGGGGTGTCCGTTCCTTGGTACAAATACTGCCTGCGTTCTAATGCCATTCTTAGCATTTGAGGTGGACCTGGAACGAGCTGCTTGCATGGTTTGGAAGTGATAGGAAGAACTGGCCATATCCTTGAGGTTTGGTAGAGGCTTTAGGGCTTCAACAACTTCACTCATCATTGGTCTAGCTTTTGGGTCACGGCTGAGGCAGTGGGCGGCCAGCTGGATAGCTTTTTGAGCACCTTTGATCGAAAAATGACCTTCAAGCCGGGGGTCAATTAACTGGAATAACCTCCTCTTGTCTCCAAAAAGTTGTCTCGCCCATTCCACAAGATTGTGCTCCCCATTGGGTCTATTTTTATCCATGGATCTTCTGCCATTTAGCATTTCGAGTAGGACAACTCCAAAACTATATACATCACTCTTTGATGTCAGATGTCCTAAATCAAAAGGCCATGTTAGAATTAAGTAATTCCAGCTCGTGATAAAGCATATGCTCCTTTTGGCCAATGCTCATCACTAAGTATATAATAACTACAAGAACATAATAAAATTAGAAAAGCAGATGGCCTAAGTATGTGATCATTCATCAGAAGCAAAAGCCGGATAAAACACCAAGTACTGACATCTTAACCTATCTTTTTGCATATATGATGGAGTTGCAATTTATAAGACTTTCTCCACCAAAAGAAAAAGAAATATAAAACTAAGCCTTCTATGTTCATTTTAAATGGGTTCAAAGAGGGAGGAGTCACAGTTTGGCACTCACTTGTCCAAGTTGTTTGACAGTTGAAAGAAAAAAGAGCTCAAACAAACATATTTTGTCTATCACCACTACTAGCTGGTAGTTCACATAATTGTGGTAAAAGTAGAGTTACCAAAAGTATTGAATGCCAAACTCACCCGTCATCACATACTCTGGGGCTGCATAACCATAGGTTCCCATAACTCGTGTGGACACATGAGTTTTATCACCCTCGGGACCATCTTTCGCAAGTCCAAAATCAGAAAGCTTGGCATTGTAATCCTAAATCAACATTTTCCATTTTCAGAATGGAATAGGAATGGAGAAAGAAAAGGAAGTAGTTGCTCTGTTATAGTCACTTACCGCATCTAAAAGAATATTAGATGTTTTAAAGTCACGGTATATGACTGGTCTTTGAACTTCTTCATGAAGAAAGGCCAGACCCTTTGCAGCACCGAGTGCAATTTTCATTCTAATAGACCATGGAAGAGGCAGGGATCCTGGTAGTTACCAAAAACAACATTAAGAAACACTAACAATACATGACAGAGCAAATTCAACAGCTAACTGTACCAAATGCATTTCACTGTGTTAGTACGTGCTTGCAAGAGGTAGTTTCAAATTTCAATATACATGCAGTCAAATTAAAGAATGTGAAAGGACCAGTTGCTTACTTCTGAAGAGGTGGTTTTCCAAACTTCCCCTTGGCAGAAACTCGTAAACCAACAACCTTTGGTCATCTTCGATGGAGTAACCAATTAACTTTACCAAATTAGGATGGATGAGATCACCAAGAAAATAAATTTCAGCCTGAAATACAAAGAAATGAACGATTATGTTACAAATTGAACAGCAAAGGAGACTAGCATGTAATCTACGAGTTTCATTAAGAACTAACAACAAACATAAAGTTGGAAGTAGAATATAGTAGAAAGAAGGAATGCAGAAGTCATACAAGCCATTCTTTGTGACCCTGAAGTCCATCATGGTTGAGAGTCTTAACTGCAACCGTAAGCCCAGTACCAGGTTTCACAGGAGCAGTTCCATTTTCCTCGACCCAACCTTTGAACACACAGCCAAATCCACCCTCACCAAGAAGACTCTCAGGTCTGAAGTTTCTAGTGGCTTGCTTAAGTTCATTAAATGTGAATTTTCGGAGCTGAGAAGCAACCTTCAGTTCCTCACTGAAATAAGGTGTGGATGAAGTACTTCCACCATTACTAGTAGTTGTAGAGGATCCTCCACGAGTAAGTTCTCGATCTCTACTTTTCTCATTCGAAGATTTAGTTTCCGCTGATTTACACAAGGTCCAATCCAACACACATAAGTGAATCAGTGAATGATGCATACAAGCAGCACGCACTTGAATGAACGATGTTGGTATTTGTCTTCCCCTGTTAGTTGGGAATTTCCTAATGAATGCCCGACACTAGAGATGCGAGTGTATAACTAAATTGCTATTCAATCAACCATATGTTCTAATAAAGTCAACATGCAAAAACAGTAAATGATCATTGCATCAAATAGTTGGTTGAACAAATAAATATACATCCGGCCAGCCTAAATCAGATATCTGTCTCGTGAAGACTTTTTCGTTCCAATACTAACTAAATGCCCATGAAACAGTTCAGCTTCTGATAATTTACACGAAATTCATCACCTATAAAAAATCATACAGTTTTAGAATGAAACGATTTGAAAAGGATTTAGCTTTGATAACATAAAACCTTCCCTAAACAAAATTGAAGAGCCTCTTACTTATTTCAGCTGATTTACCACCCCCAAAAAAAAAAAACAATCCCCATCTCGAAATTAATGTTGCTTGACAAAAACTTGCCAAAAAAGAAAAAGGATAATAACGAATTACCAAAAGAAATAGTAGTTCCAGTCATGGCGCTATCAACTTTGGATCTTGAAGGCATGCAAGTCCCAAAACTGAACTTAACCCAACATCCAGTTTCATCCACTGCCTCATCTTTCTTCTTCTTTCCCTTTGATTTGCTCCCATCCCAAGTCTTCACCTTGCTATCATTAAGGACCAATCCCATCTTCTTCTCAAGCTCTTTTAGATTCAGATTCTCATGGCTCAAAGACCAGAAATTTTCGCATAACACACAGAACCCATTCCAACTCACCTGTCTTCAAACCAAAACCCACCAAAAACACTTGAAAAACTCCGAAGGTTCACAAAAATGCGACTTGTGAACAAGGATCGAACAGTTCTGTGTTCAATAACCGAAATTGAAGCACACCCAGTTGGTCAAAAAGGTCAAGAGAGTGACAGAGAGAGAGCCAGGGGGGGACAGAAGGCGTAGAAAGAGAGGCTGCTTAAGAAAGAGGGAAAGTTTTTCGCTAATGGGGCAGGTCGGGCGGTTTGAAACAGAGCAGGCGGGCAGGTCGGGCATGAGAGAGAAAGGAGAAAGCCTTTCACACTGCTCTAGAACAGTAACTTTGGCATATTCCGAACATCAAATCAAAACTAGGGTACTTGAGAATTTTGCTCACTTATTATCAGCTTTCTACTTTTTCAATCTCCCTGTTGTGTTTTTTTTTTTTTTGGGAATCATGAACGATTTCATGAACATCTTGACAAATCGGACGAGCACTGCACATTTTATGCAATAATGCAATTAGAGTCATACAGGTTCAGAATTTATTTGTTTATTTCAAGTTTTTTTTTTAATAAATATTGTTGAATTGTAGTTTACTTTACATAACAACTTGTCTAATTTAATATTATCTTAACAGACGATTATTAAGAAATTAATTTTGTCCCTGAATGGATATCAAATCAAATGTCTATCCAATCATCTTTAGACAACTTCAATAATAAATAAATAAATGGAGAATTAATGAAATCATCACTTCCTATCCTATATTACTATAACATCAACAATAGGCTCCTTAAACTACCTTCTTAGATAAATTTTAGGAAGGAATCGTAAAAATGCAACTCCCACGCTCCCTATCCACCTTCTAAAATAAGAAGTTCTCTAGGAGCTCCTAAATCTGAGGAGAGAGAAAGAACTCTTAGTGACTTCCTATAATTTAATGTTGTTTTATTTAATTAGTATTTCAAACATTTATTTAATGCTTACTTTTTTTTTTTTAATAGAGATTGACCAATCAAAAAAGAGTTATAGTATTTATGACTCTCCAAATTAAAGAGTATGGTTGGAGTTGAAATTTTTTAGAGAGCTCCTAAACTAGTTTTTTTATATTATTGGCTAAATTTTAGCTAAGAAATAAAAAGCATTCACAATGGGCTCCTTAAACCACTTCCTTAAATAAATTTTGGGGAGGATTTAGAAAAATACAACATCAACCATGCTCCATATTCACCTCCTAAAATAAGGAGACCTCTAAATCTGAGGAGAGAGAAAGAACTCCTAGTGGCCTCCTATAATTTAACGCTGCTTTATTTAATGAGTATTTCAAACCTTTAATTAATGTTTATTATTTTTATATTATTTTTTAATTAGTTTTCTACATTGATCTCATCTTCAATCTTCAACTACTAGTCATCTCCTTGCATGTAATATCTTAAGTTCTCAACTCCATTTTTCTCCCCAATTCCCACAAATTTGCACATGCATCCTTCATACCATACCACATACAGCACTAATTCTTGTAATTGTTCAAGAGAATTTTCATTTTTGTCCAAAATAGATTGCAATTTGAGACTTTTGGGTATTCAGTGTCCTACATATTTATGAACAATTCTGATTAATATTGGCAAGAAGCACGCAGTTTGCATTGAAATTTCACAAATTCCATTACTTTGTGCGAACGGTATGAAAGATGAGTACATCATTAACCCTAGAACATGCTCATCAGACCCTTTTTTCGGTTTCATCAACTAACTTTCCCTTGCTAGGTAGTTCACGCCTTACACTCTCCTTACATAAATCAGTAATCTACATTTCACCAGTAAGCCATACAATACAAGTCATAGTCAACCTGAACAAACTATTTGGGGGTTTCAATCATCAACTTCATGTTTCAAGCCATGGCAAGTTTCCTGCAATCAAATATTTGCTTGGAAGATCGCCGGCAGATGGTGCAAGATATGTAATTGTCTTCCTGTAATATCATATACTTGGTTAGCTCACACAAAACCAGAATACAAAAGGTGCTTCTAGGAAAGTTGTTATTGTAGCTCAGAATTCAAACCTGTGAAGATCAATGTCTGTGATATAAATAAACCCAGCAACATTACTGCAAAAAAAGAAAAAGTGGTCAGTGCTAATTACTTAAAGACTCTATGGGTTATACTCTGTTATAAAACATGTCATGGTCAAATTCACATCGCTCAACTGAAGAATGAACATTGAATTCCTTGCCACACCTGCAAGAAGTACCATAATCTTTTTTCTTTTTTTTTAGCAAATAATTTTTCATACTTGTAACAGTTAGGGGGGTAAAAACGTCTACTATCCTATGTGAAGTTCAAATAATACTGAACAAAACTGATCAATGTTATACTTTACTCAAATCATTATCAATTTTCCATCAGATGGATTTCTATGAATTACCTAGAAATAATTTGATCAGGATCCTTGGCGAATGAAACAGCAAGAACCGTCTGGAGCAAATCCCTGTTAATATTCACAGGCACCAATCTTGTAGGATCTGCGGCAGGCTCTGCACCAATTGGCAAAGCTGAACGTGGGGCCTGTGGCCCGCCACCAATTCGAAAGACAGATAAATCACTGAAATTTGCGATATTAGAATGCGGGCTCAGATCATTTGCAAGGCCATAAAAATATTCCTGTTAGAAATATCAGCACACATGAGCCTTCTCATGAGGAAAGGAAAATAACACAATAGCAACATATTTCTGAAACTTGGTTGCATAAAAATGCTATTCACCCTTATCCTATCTTTCTGGAACTTGGTTACATAAAAGATGATATTTACCCTTATCCTATGACTCCTGGATTTTTGACGGAATTTCGCATTCCTGGATACAACACCCCCTGATCTTTGAAGTTTAACAACGTCCACACCGGGCTTGTTCTTTAGTACATCTCTGAGCATGCTGCAAAGCTTTTCCTGCATAGAATTTAAAAGAAACACATGTACTGTCATGGAAGCCAACATATAAAACCATTTTGTTAAAGCTATAAATGTTTTAGGAACAAGGATGTATTAAAAGTAAACCTGGATATGGAAACTTTGAGACAGAGTCAACCAACAAAAACAAAGAGGGAGGGGGAAAAAAGCAGAAAAGCTCGCAGAATTCACTAAGATGTAATCAGGAATAGAAAAGAAACTCGAACATGAGGGATCTACCTGTCCCAAAACTAAGACAACATTGGCATCGAATGTATCAATTGCATGAAGAAGCAACTGCAAGGAAGATAGAAAAGAAGAGACTATCAAACACAGATTTCATATACAGGAGATTTATACAAGCGTTTCTAGATTAAATCAATAGTCATCCTGTAGTGCAAGCAGCCTATAAATTACCTCATAGCCTTGACCTTCTATCCATCCCATAGTGTTGATCACCATTCCAGCAGCTCGAGATTCAGCATTAGCAGAAAATTGTCTCTCTATCACTTGAGCAAGCTCCTTCACAAGTACTTTGTATAAATCTACATTGTTACTGTAAAAACAACGGATGTCTAAGGATGTAATAAGTAAAAACATTGACAAACAGATTCACTATTTAGTTAGAGTGAAAGAAATTGGCAATGGAAGATTTTTTCTTATGTATTCTAGGTATCAATACAAGATATGAAAACATAGGCCAAGAAATAACCATACAAAAAGATTACCTAGGAGTTGTGTGCCCATAGAAATAAACAAGGGGAATTTCAAGAGGAATTCCTTCAACCGGATCAATAGGCATTTCAATTGGAGTAGCAGCAATGCATCCGGGAATTGTTATAGCTCCTTGTCCAATATCCAAGTCGACAAAAGTAGGCTTCCATCCCTGCTTAGCTGCCCAACTAAGAAGCATTTTGGACAAGGTACTTTTCCCAGAATCTGTAGGTCCCACAACAATCACCCTCGGGCCCTGATCACAAAGAAGCTTATAAGCCACAAACACATATGCACATACCAAGGGTTACAACAATCCTTCGTAACATACACCAAAAGACATTTTTTAATTAAATTGTCTTGCATTTCTATATAGTCTATACACTTATGCCATGAGTTCATTCCGATTATTCAAAGAAAACTTGAGGTGTCAAACACTGAACTTTCAAATACCAATACTCAAGTTCAGTAAAGAATGACACTGGCTGGGGCACAAATACAAATGACGAACATGTAGGTACCTGAGGCTGAGAAGAATTGGAGTCATCAGGCGGCGAGGCTTTAGCACGGTTTCTCCGTTCTTCCAGTACGGCATGCACATTTACATAACTGATGTTTGGGGTCTGAAAAATTAAAGATTGGAAACACCATCATTCTCTGATTCACATTCTGTATTTGTGACAGATATATTGGGGAGCAAAAACTGAAAAGCAAAAGCCTATGAAATTGCCTCATCAGCGGTGTAATCGGTTTCCGTACTGCCGTCCATCTCAATTGTTGCTCCATACCAAGTAAAAACCTTTAACAATCAAAACCCATAACAGAATGCAATTAAAGACATGAACTTTCGTAACGAAAATTTCAAATGAAAATTTTACCCAAAAAAAAAAATTTCAAATGAAAACAAAAAGAAAGATGAAGAAGAAGGAAGAATGTTACAGCAAACTTGAGCCTGGGTGGGAAGGTGAGCCAGATTTCAGGGGGAAGCTCGGTGCCAAAGATCTCGGCTGTGCCATTGAGCAGCCGAAGCTTGAGAGGCGCGTCGTTGCCCACTTCGATTCTAAGTTCGCTCTCTCGTTCCAATTTCACCTGCTTTGCTCCACCTCCTTGCGCCATCTCCTTCTGCTAGCTTCACTCTCTTGGTATTCCGTATTTGGGGTTCACCAGAGCTAACAAGTTTTCAACTTTATACTCTCAGTAAGTTCCTTCTGTATTCCGGCACATGCCTCAACGAAAAGGGCCCGTTGTTGGAAAGGTCTCAAAATTTAATTAGTGCTTCAAAATAATTATTATGTATTTGCTTTTTATCGCAAATGGTGAATGGTGACTTATATTTGTGAAATTATTACCTTTTCTTCTTAATTTTTTGTGATACTAATGGTGTTGCCGTTAGTTTCCGTCAAATATTTTGTTCAATTGCTAACGCGGCACACATGAGGAGCCCACACCTCCAACCTAAAGGATCTGCTGTCTTCATTTTGTATGTCCCTCAGTGTCCTTTCTCTATATTATTGACACCTGTATTTTAATTTAATACATTATTTATTCAGATATCATCATTTCGATTTTACCCTTGTCATTGGTTTTATTTTTTATAATAACCAAAATTGAATAAAGTAATCTGCCATCTCCAAATACCTTTGTCATGTTTCCAACTCATTTTACACCATGAAAGATCTCAAATCTTTCATTTCTTCCTCACCTACAAGTATAGTCTGAAATATTGATAATATTGACGAAATATCGAGGATATTTCAATTTTTTTGAATCACGGATATTTCGAAACATATCCATGTACATATCGTATAAATATCGACGATAATATCGGAAAATATCGATATCGATAATTTCGCTCACACTTCAGCAATATTTTGTCAAAATATCAGTGTAATATCTCTAAAATATCGATGTAAATGAAAAAAAAAAGGAAAAAGAAGAAAAAAAATAAAAGGGAAAAAATGGAGGAAAAAAAAACACAAAGGGGATTTGAACCCCTCCCATTTTACTCCTCCAACACCTTAACCACCATATATCACTTGTGTTTTAGTGATAATATGCTAAAATATTTATATTTATCTGGGTGACATGTTAACAATTACATGCAAAACTATTTTGGGGATTTATCATTTAATGAATACTCTTCACAATACACTTACTCTATATATAGAGATGATGAAGATAGTGAAAATTTTGAACCTCATAGAAACTCTATGTGGTACTAAATCACACATGTATCTTACCATGCAATGTATAAAGTGTAAAATATTGTAGTAAATCATTACATATAAATGATTATGGTGTGTTTAATCTTTTTTTCATTAATTACTACATATTTTCTACACTCGCAGTGTTTGCCAGCTCGCTGTATGATCAACTTAAATAAGTTAAATCCATCATGTAATGCATTTCCTTCTAATTTTTATTATTATTATAAACTAATAGATAATTGACTAAATAAACATCCTCCAAAGTTTCAATAAACATTTCCAAGTTTTTCTTACAATTTCTATGGTTTTTATTCAATTGTTATCGATATCGATAATATCCCGATATTTCCATCGAAATTTTCATGTTTTTGGACTACCGATATTTCCGATATCATCGATATTTTAGACCATGCCTACAAGTTGCCGCCGTGCCTATTGCTCAACAATAAGGGTGTTTGCCCGTTTGGCGTTCACTCCTGTGATGGAAGGGCAAAGTTCCCCACTGCCTTGAGAACCATAAGCTGGTTGACAAGTCAGCTTTCTTTGGTGTGCGAGCGTGCCACTGCTAGCAATAAAAATTCTAGCAGACTTAGTTTGGAGTAAATAACTTGCGCCCCAAGTTACTGATTTCTGCAAACAAACGATTGTGAATTTGGGTGAGGAATATCTCCCAAGTAAGTTCTTTTCTTGCCTCAGACGGGTGAGGACTTTAACAATTTATCTCAGTATAAACAGGCTGTTCTGGCCAGAATGGTTGATGGAATTTAAACTGTTTCAGGCAGAACTGATGGAATTTAAACTGTTTTTAGGCAGAACTGATGGAATTTAAACTGTTTTTAGGCAGAACTGATGGAATTTAAACTGTTTTTAGGCAGAACTGATGGAA